CCTGCCAAAACAAACCGGTTTTCACTGTATAATAATTATCATTTCTACAAGTACATAAAGTATATAGGCCTAGCTGACATTTCGGGCAAATTAGATCAGTTTTATCCCAGGATGCGACCCAGACCAGCCGACTAGCACACAGGTGCCCATTTTACTGATGGGGAACATAGACAGTCCGTGTAAGGAAACACACAAAAGGTTTCTACCCTCGGTGGGAACCGAACCCGGATGCCCTCCGTGTGAAGCGAAAGCTTTAGCCACCAGGGCACCTGTGGCCTGTCACCTGTTAAGGGCGAAATGTTTTTCGGTGTTGATATAACACACACAAATAATTTACCATACTAATTACCATATCATTATTTTCAAAGAATTATTATTGTCATAAAATTTTATTTTCAATAATTTTTTTTTTCAAAAACTCTGAAAATTTCTATTTTCATTTTTTTAGTACTTTGTATCAGACATTATTAAAAGTAATATTAGGCCATACGCACTATACCTTTTTTTTCTAAATAAGATAGACAGAACGCCATTCGGGTTTCGTAAGAACATAAGGAGCACTGCAGCAGGCCTACTGGCCCATGCTGGGTAGGTTCAAGTCACACCTATCCATGGTACTGAGATTTTCGTGTTATTCCTGGTCTTTGAGGGAGCTGTTTTCACAGGTTTAAAAATGGTCGAAGTAAAAAGGCTCTTGAAATATTAAAAAGAGCTAATTGCATTCTGCTGTGGGAGAAAAAGGCTCGATGGGGTTCGAACTTTTGTGTGTATGTGAGTTTTGAAAAATCCGTTTTCTTAGGCGTTTGTACGTGTTCGTCCGTGTTTGTACGTAGCGTGTGTGCGCATTTGCATGTGTTTATCAGTGTACATTTACGTATTTCCCAAAGGTTTGTACATGTGCGGTTACATATGTGATGGTATGATTTCGTGCTTCTGTGAACGTGCTCTTCGTGTTTTCGTGCCTGTACTTGTTCTTCCGTCCTAGTATTTTTGGATATATATTCATAAGTCATAGTACGTGCTTGTACTGATTGCTTGCGTCTGTCCATGTTTGTACGTATTTTGTAAGCGCTGTTGCACACGTTTTCTTACCTGTTCGTTCGGTGTCTTATGAGGTTATAGGAGTGTGATCGTGCTTATACGGTATGTCCTTGATTGTACGTGTTCTTCTTACGGGCTTATATGTTCTTGTAACTGATTGTAAGTATTGTATTTTTTATAAATGTTTCTCCGCGTTCGTACGTGGCTTTACGTCGTTATGAGCGATTATACGTGTTCGTACGCGTGCGTGCTTACGATCAAGCTTAGTTCGTAAGACCTAATTCGTGACTCAGGAAATCGTAATGACACGATTGCAAACAAACCATACCACGGGTGGGGATAGAACCCGCGGTCACAGTCTCAAAACCCCAGACCGTCGCGTTAGCCACTGGACCAGCTAGCCACAATTAGATTCGTCCAACTAGATTCGTCCCCGCCCGTGGTATGTTTTTTTTTTTTACCTAATTCGTATTTGTATGTGCTCCTGGGTGTTAGTGCTCGTTCTTGGGTCCCATGATAACACATAATGCTGCTGGTATCACCATAGATGGGTAAGACGCATATTCAACACCTAGCTAATAGCACGTACTTCGGTTCGAGTTCCCGTCTATTCTTCATTTACAACTTATTTTGGGGTTTTTGAGAATTGGGATCACGTCTGCTGCTGCGTACCTACATCTCAAAAGCTCTTATTGCTAATATTTGCTATAATTATGATAAAGGGCTAAATCCTTGCTGGTTACAAAGTGCAAGAACGGGTGAAGACTCGACACTTCGTTCGCTGATCGTGAGACGGAAGCGCTTCTCTCGATGTCAGCTCTCGATGTCAGCTCTCGCTGCCAGATCTCGCTGCCAGCTCTCGCTGCCAGATCTCGCTGCCAGCTCTCGATGCCATGCTCTGAAAGATGCCAGTCCTTCAGGGCATGGCACTGGAGGATTGGCCCACTTAATGGAGTCTACTGTCTCATGTCTCTGTATTAGATGTATAATGCCCTCGGGTGGGCGAAACGTCTCTCAAGTATCGATACCCAAGTGCTGCTCGTGTGTCCTTATTCATCCACTTGTGAATACTGTATCACTTTGGTCTAACTGTATCCCTGTTTATATTTTTAACAGAAGTTATTAGCACGACTGTATTTCCTGCAGACATTGTTGGCAGAACTTGTTTGTACAGAGCTCTAGTAGAATGTTTATTTGGTATTACTGTAGTTTTTTTAACATTATGAAGCTGTTGTTGATGCAATCAGAGTTTTCTGGCAAATTTTTCTTAAACAATCAAGGTGTTCCGGTAGAAACTGCTGGAACAGTCAGAGCTGGCAGAATTTGTTGATACAATCAGGGAAGATGCTGCTGGTAAGGTCAGAGAGTTCTGGGAGAAATTGTTGGTACAGTCAAAAAGTTCTGACAACTGTTGGTGCAACCATAAAATTCTGGCCCAAGGTGTTGGTACAATCCTATAGTTCTGGCACAAGCTGTTGGTATGTATCCAGAGATCTGACAGAAGCTATTGGTACAATCAGATAACTGACATAAATTGTTAGTACAATCAGAAAGTTCTGGCAGGATGGTACAGTGGGAGAGTTCTAGCGGCAGCAGCAGCAGCAGCAGCAGTTGGCCACAACGATCACTGCTGGAAGTCTTGATGAGTTAGCGTCCTGTGTTGACAGAGCTGTGGTAAAACTTTTGTTGGCTCTTACTCTAGTAACTTAGAGTATCCTTGTAACTTACCGTGAGGGAAAAGTTTACTATTAAGGTATTAAAGTTGATAATAAAATGGTTATGACTAGGCTTGTCCCTCGTTACTTTACTCTTGTAGTAATGTGTATGCCGTAATAAAGTTGGTAGAATTACCGATAATATACTAGGTAAAAGGACACATGTGTAGCTAATGTGACATTGTGGCAACGTTTCTCGAAACGTTGCCACAGTAAAATGCCACATTAGTTGCACAGTTGTCTTTTTACCCAACAGTGTGTATGCCAGCGCCACCTGTGAATCAACTCTCTAAATCGTCTATTCGTTTTCTTTTTCATTCGTTTTTTTTATTACTGAGACTCTTTTAGTTGGTGAGAAAGGACGCATGTGTACAATTCAGTATATTAATTAAAGGAAACGTTTCTCCACGAATGGATTCATCAGTTTTCAACAGACTGATGAACCCACTCATGGCATAACTATTCCTTTAATAAATATCCTCATATTCACACCAGTATCTTTTTCCACAGTTCGTGCGTATCACAATACTCCTCACAACCAATACTCATTTCGACCTCAGCTTCTGATAACGCAAGATGTTATATCCTTCACAGACACTTTTGTCATTTTTTTTTTGTCTTCTATATACTCAGTAGTTGTGGTTGCCAGTATTGATTTAACTAGTTCATGAAATTTGTTACCACCGCTTAGGAGCATCAGTAATTATTTGTACGTGTCATTCTGATAACTGTTCTTCTCTTAGCCTAAAAGGCCTAGTGTGGGATCACCTAAATTGTGAAAGAGCTTAAAGAGGATTTATTGCAGTAGGATAAGCTATAGATTTTGAAGCTCCACTTGTTTAAATGTGCTCGGCTGATGAATAACAACAAGATGCATCTCAGTCCCTGCGAGATCCGAGAACAGCATCCCCGGGTTCCATAAGCCAAGCCTCCCTCACCTGAATGCTTGCTAAACAAGTTGTGGAAGTTGGCCATAAAATTCCAGTGCAGCAAAATATAAATGTATGATTGAGCGTAAAGATTTCAGTGTGTATGTTCACTTTCAAATCTAATCTTTTCGTATGTATGCGTGTGCAAATGTGTGTGTATGTGTGTATGTACAGAAAGATCGCAGTCAGCAGGATTCGAACCCACGTTTTTATGGTGACATAGTCTCCTAGGGGACGCCTTAGATCACTCAGCTACAGGTGTCACTTAGGGAACTATCCCATCTTTCAAACGTGGGTTCGAATCCTGCCGAATAGTATTCTTACACTTGGGTAGCGGTGAAAGTTTTTGATAATGTATAATGGTGATAATTATCTACATTATATGCCATTTTGTACATACATCATTCTTACAATGCTGTACATCATATTAGTATAATTTTAAATGGCTATAATAAAATGCTGTAAGATGTAAAATGTTTGATTGGAAGCATTATTAATAGATATGCTTGTGACTGGAAGCCTTTTGTGCAAGCAGAGAGTTACGGCGATAAAGATATCAAAGCGTTGTAAATATCTTGCATATTATTTTGTAAGTTATCCGGGCCATTTCTGGAGGATGGGAAGCTGGTTCAACATCCTTGATCATAGGGCTCGTGATCATGGTAGTTTTTCCACGACTCTGGTCCTCGCTACCATGCTCGAGTGTTAAAAATTTTAAGTCGTTCGGATTTTTATTTTGCTATGAAGAAAATAAAAATTCGGAAAGCTGGAGCAAGAAAAAAGGATTATTATTATTATAATCAAGGGGGAAGCGCTAAACCCGGAGGATTATACAGCGCCTGGGGGGGGGGGATGTGGAAGGCATTCAGGCTTAATTCGGGGAACTGGAGCGCACAGATCCAATTCCCTAAATCAAGAGCCCCTCACCAACATCAAGGAACCTTCCTTGAGGGGAAGAAAAAAGGAAAAATCAGGCAACAGCATAGATGTACCTATTTAGGAATAAATTAACAAAAACAACAATAATAATAATAATTATTTTATTATATTATTATTATTATTAGTAGTAGTACTAGTAGTATTATAAAAATCCTTTCATAAATTTGTAGAAAAGGGTAAAATAATACGGCAAAATAAATTATTTAATTTTTTATGACTATGTATATTGTCAGTAAGAAACATTGCATACACGGTGTAAGGCTTACATACAGTCACAACACGCGCGCGCGCCACATACACACACACACACACACACACGCAAACACACACACACACACACACACACACACACACACACACACACCAAACAACACACAACAGCACAGGCATACACTCACACAGCGATCAGTGAAGAGTCTGGGCCATGAGCTATGACTCGATCCCTGCAACCACAAATAGGTGAGTACACACAAACACATCACACATGCATCACACACACACACACACACACACACACACACACACACACACACACACACACGTCCATGCAAACAGGAAAAACAAAACGTTCACAGAGAGGAATTAGACAAATTTTAATAAAAACTTAAATTTGGTATAATTCAAACATTAAAATGTAAACAAGAAAGGAAAAATATTTAATTAAAATGTAAAGAATGGATTGGAAAACTTGAAAAAAAAATATGTAAAAATTTACACTGTGCAAAAAACTTAAGCAGCTGGGTAATTATTTTGCTAAATTGAAAATTGTGTAAACGAACGTAATTAACTTGCTAAAGAATCCTGTATAACAATTGTAAAAGAATTTATTAAGCAACTAGGCAAACCAACATGAGTATAGAGAGAGCTAATCAACTAGACTGGAGAAAGCTTAAGCAATCGTATGTGTGTATTCGCAGACAATCAGATGAGTAAACAGCGATTTTGTTCATTAAGTTGGGTCCGGCCATATAGGGAAGTGTACTCTCAGTAAGATTGCAGACACCGCTAGTCTTGTGAGCATTCTGCTAACTCTGCTGGGGCTTCTGATGCTGCAGCTTGTGTTGCTGCTACTGCTGTTGCTGCTGCTGGTGATGCTACTGGTGCTGCTGTTGTTGTTGGCTTGTACAGGAACTGGATAACCACCGCCTGCCAAACGTGGTAATGATAGGTTACGTAAATTATGTAAATCAAGTAACGAATTTATTTTTTATTTTTGTGTTTGTTGTGGTTGTTAGAATGAGGAAAGGCAGAAGCAGTGCAGGATAGATCAGTGAAGAAAGTTGTGGATGGAAAGAAAGTTTGCTGACATCACGGTTCATATGACTCTCCAAACAGCATTAATACCAGCACTTTCATAACTGGTTCGTCCTTACTCCTATACGATGTCGTACATCCCTGTGCAATGTATAAAATCTCTGCCACCCTTTGTTCACCAACGTTTAATTGCTTCTCGAAATATTGCTTCCATTATTCCGCACCTTCACCTTCCCATCTAACACCTCCATATGTTACATTTTTTTCTTATTTCGGAGTTGTATCTGCAATAGACAACTTTTCTATGCGACTTTTCTTGTAAGGAAAATTGGTTGATAAAACCTCATCCACTATCTCGTTAGCTTTTCTATTTCCTCATCACTCTTTCTCTCCCAGTTCTCAGCTCTCAGTATATCACTTCTACATTGCAAAAGCCTCTCAGAAGATAATTACCACCCTCTTTACGTCATCATTCCAACAATCCCTCTTTTTCCCACCTGCACCCACCCTTCTATACCCACAAACTAACACTGTATTCTTAAATCTACCCCATACCACGTCGACCACTTACTCATTGCTCATGATTTATGTCATGCTAATAAGCCCAAGCAGCGAGTAAGGTCTAAAAAAAAATAGTTCTTTTTGCCGAACAAGCAGATAAATTTTTTATGCCACTAATCTTTGACAATGAATCTGAACATAAAATGTTTCACATATTTTATGTAATATTAAATAATTTCAAACTGATTTATGATATATTTAGAAGAACTTGGTTAAAAACAATTACGTTAGAGTAGGTTAGGTGAGGTTACTAAGCATTGGTCAATAAAAGTGAAAAATAATTACATCACTAATTAAAAAAAAGTCTATCAATCTGGAGAGAGAGAGAAAAGGTAATCACCTGCAGGTGTGGGCAGGTGTCTTGAGTGAGGGAGTGAGTGGTTCTTCTGCATGGCTGCTGGCTCCTCACCTGTGCAAAAATCAATAACAGCTACAACTTGGGTAACTACAATTTATATATATATATATATATAATCTGTTGACAGAACACACTTCAGGTAAAACTTCAGAACATTAATTAGAGAACTCGACCTGACGACACTGGAGGAGAGGAGGGTTAAGGGTGCTATGATAACGATATATAAAATACTGCAAGGAATAGATAAGGTGGACAGAGACAGGATGTTCCAGAAATGGAAGACAGCAACAAGGGGACACAGTTGGAAGTTGAAGACTCAGATGAGCCACAAGGATGTTAGGAAGTATTTCCACAGTCACAGAGTTGTCAGGAAGTGGAATAGTCTGGTAAGTGACGTAGTGGAGGCAGGAACCATACGTAGTTTTAAGAAAAAGTGTGATAAAGCTCATGGAGAGAGTGGACCTAGTAGTGACCAGTGAAGAGGCAGGGCCAAGAGCTATAAATCGACCCCTGCAAACACAGTTAGGTGAACACACACACACACACACACACACACACACACACACATACACACACACACACACACACACACACACACACACACACACACACACACACACACATACACACACACACACAACACACACACACACACACACACACACACACACACACACATACACACACACACACATACACACACACACATACACACACACACACACACACACACACACACACACACACACACACACACACACACACACACAATTCCTCCTCAGGTCAGGTCAGGGACGCCACACACACACACACACACACACACACACACACACACACACACACACACACACACACACACACAGGTCAGGTTAATAGCTCGGCTGGAAATATGATTCCTCCCTTTTAACATATTTTTGCTGGTAAACTCTTTGAGGAGGAATTAAATTAAGTGTTGTTTGCTTGGGTCAGGTCAGGGACGCCTGCCTGCTTGCTTGCTTGCTTGCCTGCCTGCTTGCTTGCTTGCTTGTTTGCTTCTTCTTGCTTGAATGCTTTCTTTTATTGCTTCATGCTTTTCGCTAACTTCCTTTTGCTTGCTTCGCTGTAGCTTCTTGATTGCTTGATTGGCCTTCGTGAAGACAAGAGACTTGTTACGGAACAAGTTAGAACGACTTGATCAAGTTCTGAGTGAAAGGTCGTCCTGGTAAACACATGTGCTCTAACATACGTCTTTCTTCACTATTGTTGATAGTGTGACATTTACACCAAACTTGATTCTTGCTTATTTGATGTTTATCTCTTTGTTTTTTATCTTGCGTTCTTTTTTTTTATCTTTTAATTCTTAGTTTCTTATTACCTTTCTTACAGTAAACATTTGTCTTGTTTTCTTGGTTTTCCAGATATTTCTTTCTTCATCTTTATTTTCTTTGTCACTTCATTTTCTTCTTCTTTCCTTGTTGTTTGCCTAGGCCTTGCTTGTTAAGGCCTTCTTGCTTGCCTAGGCCTTGCTTACTCCTTGCTTGGCTAGGCCTTGCTTCTTGCTTGGTTAGGCCTTGCTTACTTCTTGCTTGCCTAAGCCTTGCTTACTTCTTGCTTGCCTAAGCCTTGCTTACTCTCTGCTTGGCTAGGCCTTGCTTCTTGCTTGGTTTGATTCTTGCTTGCCTAGGCTTTCTTACTCCTTGCTTGGCTAGGTCTTACTCTCTCCTTGCTTGTCTAAGTCCTGTTTACTTCTCGCCACTGTTGACTTCGAATCAAGAAAGATGTTTTAATCTCTAGTTGAGACGTAGACGTCTAATCATAAGTACGTCAATTACTTTTAAAGAAAAATCTAAGTAACTGTTCCTTCTTCTATTATTTCTAAAGCAGTAGTGGATGCACATTATTAAAAATTTTTTATTAATATCAATTTTCTAAATGTTAAATTAAAAATGCATGTCACTATAATATTTATTTTTACAATTGCATGTTAATTTTCTCCCAGGATGCGACCCACACTAGTCGACTAACACCCAGGTACCTATTTTACTGATGGGTCTACATGGACAGCAGGTGTCTTGTGAAAACACGTCCTAATGTTTTCAAGCCCTACCGGGGGATCGATCCCTGGACCTCATTGTGTGAGCTAGCGTAACTAACACCATACAGCTATTGTGGTTCTGTGAATAGTTTGCCTCGACCCAAGAGACAACGGAGCCTATTGGAAACGATGTCACCTTCACGAACATTGAGGAACTAATCAGAGACATCATTTGAAATGCAATATGCTTCAGTCACTATCTCATTAAAGTGCAGATATGCGTAAATCCATGCGTAGGGAACCTAATAAATAGCGGATGTGCAAAGATATTCAGTGAATTCAAGTCCAGTAATTACAGAATTGGCCCGGATAGAAGAAAATCAGTCTTCCCTTTGCGAACGATTCTGCGCACACCAGTGTAGGGAGTGGGTGAGTACACCAGTGTAGGGAGTGGGTGAGTACGATAGTGCAGGGAGTGAGTGAGTACACCAGTGTAGGGAGTGGGTGAGTACGATAGTGCAGGGAGTGAGTGAGTACACCAGTGTAGGGAGTGAGTGAGTACACCAGTGTAGGGAGTGGGTGAGTACGATAGTGCAGGGAGTGAGTGAGTACACCAGTGTAGGGAGTGGGTGAGTACGATAGTGCAGGGAGTGAGTGAGTACACCAGTGTAGGGAGTGGGTGAGTACGATAGTGCAGGGAGTGGGTGAGTACACCAGTGTAGGGAGTGGGTGAGTACACCAGTGTAGGGAGTGGGTGAGTACACCAGTGTAGGGAGTGGGTGAGTACACCAGTGTAGGGAGTGGGTGAGTACACCAGTGTAGGGAGTGGGTGAGTACACTAGTGCAGGGAGTGGGTGAGTACACCAGTGTAGGGAGTGGGTGAGTAGTGCAGGGAGTGGGTGAGTACACCAGTGTAGGGAGTGGGTGAGTACACTAGTGCAGGGAGTGGGTGAGTACACCAGTGTAGGGAGTGGGTGAGTACACTAGTGCAGGGAGTGGGTGAGTACACCAGTGTAGGGAGTGGGTGAGTAGTGCAGGGAGTGGGTGAGTACACCAGTGTAGGGAGTGGGTGAGTACACCAGTGTAGGGAGTGGGTGAGTACACCAGTGTAGGGAGTGGGTGAGTACACTAGTGCAGGGAGTGGGTGAGTACACCAGTGTAGGGAGTGGGTGAGTAGTGCAGGGAGTGGGTGAGTACACTAGTGCAGGGAGTGGGTGAGTACACCAGTGTAGGGAGTGGGTGAGTACACCAGTGTAGGGAGTGGGTGAGTACACTAGTGCAGGGAGTGGGTGAGTACACCAGTGTAGGGAGTGGGTGAGTACGCCAGTGTAGGGAGTGGGTGAGTACACCGGTGCAGGGAGTGGGTGTGTACACCATTACATAGAGAAGGTGAGTACACCAGTGCATAAAGATGGTGAGTACAGAGGAGTACTTCTCTATAAAATATGCTCGACTGGGAGAACCTGGGAGATCATATATTCAAAAAGAACGTATAAATATGTACAGGGGGGGAGGAGGATTCAATAAATTATAAACGAGTTTGTCACAATGAAGGAAAAGCAGCACCGAGACGTTAATATACTGAACAGAAACTAAAACATTTATACATATAAAGAAAAACTGATACAAAACGTCTTTTTGGGAATTGGAAAAAAAAAAAATTGATGCACAAAATCGCAGTCAAAAAAACACGTTAAGATTTGATCCATTACTCACTGGAGATTTTACAACAGGGACGAAAATCTAGTAAAAACATGAATCAATTCTCGAGAATCTACGAAATAACAGGAGAGTTGAAAATCTGGCAATATAAACACAAATGCAGTATGATGTGATCCTTTATTGACTACGTTTCGCCCACACAGTGGGCTTTTTCAAGTCACAAACAGAACTACCTGGGGTGGAAGGAACGCGAGTATTTATAGTCCGGCTGAGGTCAGGTGAAGAATGCTGCATCTGATGATGTACCGAGTTGGGTTGTAGAGTCTAAAAACTTGGGTAGCTTGGAAAGGAGACTGGACAAGTTTGTGAGCAGACCTTCTACAGTGTTCTTATGTGGGATAGCGATGAAGAAGTTTCTTGGCAAGTGGTTCCGCTATGTTATAGAAGCCACTATTCTGGTTGAAGTTGTCGGATATAGACATAAGTGATGATTCCAGGATTCTTCGGTATTGAGTGTTGTCTTCTGTGGCGATAAGTCTTGAGTTTCTGTAGTTTATCAAGTGGTTGTGTGAATTACGGTGTTGTACGCAGGCATTCCTTGTGTCGTCAGACCTGCTTGCGTATTGGTGTTCTGAAATACGTGTTTGGAGGTCCCTTGATGTTTCGCCCACGTATAACTTGTTGCAGTCATTACAAGGGATTATGTATACCCCTGCAGAGGATGGAGGCTTGTCCTGCCTACTACTGGTGATGTCCTTGATGGTCGTGGTTGTGGAGGTAGATACTTGGAATGATGTTTTGGCAAAGATGTTGGAAACATGTTTGGCAATGGAGTTGGTGGGAAGGACTATGTATCTCTTCTCGGCAGTGTCTTCTCTGGGTGTGTTGAAGATGTTTAGTGCTCGCCGTCTGCAGTCTCTGATGAAGTGACGAGGATAGTGGAGTTTGGAAAATACCTGTTCAATTATAGTGCATTCTTCCTCAAGGAACTCGTTGCTGCAGATTCTGAGTGCACGCAGGAAGAAGCCTATAATTACACCACGTTTGGTTTTGGTGTCGTGGTGAGAGTAGAAGTGGAGAAGATCGTTTTGGTTGGTGGGTTTTCGTGACTTCCCTATTCACTAAAGTACCTACTAAACAAGCCATCGATCTCTTGCGCAAGAAAATTGACGATTCACTTGATCTTCCCATTCCAGCCAGCGACTTCATCGACCTGGTTGAACTATGTGTTGGCTTTACGTGTTTCTCTTTTGAAAATCACCTCTTTCAGCAGACTTTTGGACTACCCATGGGTTCGCCACTCAGTGCAGTCCTAGCGAACCTATACATGGAACATCTAGAAGCCGAACGTTTCTCCACCATTATTCCTTCGTCTGTCACCTGGCTCCGTTATGTTGACGACATTCTCCTCATAACTCCTAAACGCTTCAACGTTCAAGCTCTCCAAGACAAGCTCAACCAGGTCGAGCCTTCAATCCAGTTCACACTTGAAGAAGAGGTCGACAACACTCTTCCTTTCCTTGATGTTCTACTCTGCAAAGCTGACCACGAACTTCGTTTTAAAGTCTATCGAAAACCCACCAACCAAAACGATCTTCTCCACTTCTACTCTCACCACGACACCAAAACCAAACGTGGTGTAATTATAGGCTTCTTCCTGCGTGCACTCAGAATCTGCAGCAACGAGTTCCTTGAGGAAGAATGCACTATAATTGAACAGGTATTTTCCAAACTCCACTATCCTCGTCACTTCATCAGAGACTGCAGACGGCGAGCACTAAACATCTTCAACACACCCAGAGAAGACACTGCCGAGAAGAGATACATAGTCCTTCCCACCAACTCCATTGCCAAACATGTTTCCAACATCTTTGCCAAAACATCATTCCAAGTATCTACCTCCACAACCACGACCATCAAGGACATCACCAGTAGTAGGCAGGACAAGCCTCCATCCTCTGCAGGGGTATACATAATCCCTTGTAATGACTGCAACAAGTTATACGTGGGCGAAACATCAAGGGACCTCCAAACACGTATTTCAGAACACCAATACGCAAGCAGGTCTGACGACACAAGGAATGCCTGCGTACAACACCGTAATTCACACAACCACTTGATAAACTACAGAAACTCAAGACTTATCGCCACAGAAGACAACACTCAATACCGAAGAATCCTGGAATCATCACTTATTTCTATATCCGACAACTTCAACCAGAATAGTGGCTTCTATAACATAGCGGAACCACTTGCCAAGAAACTTCTTCATCGCTATCCCACATAAGAACACTGTAGAAGGTCTGCTCACAAACTTGTCCAGTCTCCTTTCCAAGCTACCCAAGTTTTTAGACTCTACAACCCAACTCGGTACATCATCAGATGCAGCATTCTTCACCTGACCTCAGCCGGACTATAAATACTCGCGTTCCTTCCACCCCAGGTAGTTCTGTTTGTGACTTGAAAAAGCCCACTGTGTGGGCGAAACGTAGTCAATAAAGGATCACATCATACTGCATTTGTGTTTATATTGCCATTGTGTCGGTATTTTATACCATTTATTTCCAGAGTTGAAAATCTAAATAATTTTTCGTTACTTACGCCCGCCCTACAAATGATATACATGTATATGATATTAGCACAGGCTGTGATGGCCATGCGGGCCGGCAGAACACTAATAACAACAGTCTGGTTGTACATGAATGTTATTTAATACCGACGAGATGAAAATAGACACATGTAAAACATCTGGGTATCTTTACTGTAGACGTTTCGCCCTCCAGTGGCTTTATTAATACAAGGACATAATGTCAAGAATTGTAAATTAATATGGTATACAATACAAGACACATTGGCAACAGTTAGGTGTCTTCATTCCGAAACCTTACCCCTGCACAGTAGGCTTTTTCAGAAGCCTACTGTGCGCCGTAATCTTCAAGGAACTCAGGTCCTTCTGGGTTTGTCCTCTGATATTTTATGCTCCTTGGGTATGTCCTCTGGTTTTTATGCTGCGTGGGTATGTCCTCTGGTTTTTATGCTGCGTGGGTATATCCTCGGGTTTTTATGCTGCGTGGGTATGTCCTCTTTTGGGTTTTTATACTGTGTGGGTTTGTCCTCTGATGGGTTTTTATGCCATGTGGTTATGTCCTTTGATGGCTTTTTATGCTGTCTGGGTTTGTCCTCTGATTTGCTTTTATGCTGTTGGGTTTTGTGCTCTAATGGGTTTTTATGCTGTGTAGGGTTGTCCTCTGATAGGTTTTTATGCTCAGGGTTTCAGTTTTTTATACGCTTCTGGGTTTTTTTGCATGATTTCATGCATCTTGGGTTAACATCAAAACATAAAATCATAAGAAAGGAGGGACACTGCAGCAGGCCTACTGGCCCATACTAGGCAGGTCCTTCACAATCCATCCCACTAGCAGAATATTTTTTGCTGATTGTGTATGTCCTTCGTGAATTCCATCACTTGGGGAAGATCTGAACCACTATATAGGTCACAAGCAGGTGTGATCCGAGGAAAAGGAAGAGTAGGTCTTTTCATTAGCATCAAGGTACAGCATCTTGGAAAAAGGCCAACTAGGTTGTTGCCTTAAAATAAGGACTCTGTAATTTTAGGCTGATTTTTTTTTAAAAAATCAAATCTTTTGACATGAATTATTTTTGCATTTAGCGTCGGTGCTTATATTCATTTACTTGTACTCGCTTAACTGTTTTTATCTATTTGTACTCAGCATTTTCTACTCGCCTAGTTGTAGTCTGTTATTCTTGGCTTATATTAATAGTTGTACTCGGTTATTCTTGGCTTGTCCTCATCTAGTTGTACTCAGTTATTCTCGGCTTGTACTCCCCTAGTTGTACTCTGCTAGTCTCGGCTTGTACTCACCTAGTTGTACTCAGTTATTCTCGGCTTATACTCACCTAGTTGTATTCAGTTATTCTCGACTTTCACTTGTCCTGACGCAAATGGCTCCGACATTTTGACTTTACATAGTTCGAAATCAAGCATAAAAAACCACAAAAATAAATCCATGAAGAGTAGAAAGTCAAAAAATAAACCCGAGCATCATATAACCTCTCAAAAACAAACCAGATAATCATAAAACGTCTCAAAAACAAACCAGATAATCATAAAACGTCTAAAAAAACAAACCAGATAATCATAAAACGTCTCAAAAACAAACCAGATAATCATAAAGCGTCTCAAAAACAAACCAGATAATCATAAAACGTCTCAAAAACAAACCAGATAATCATAAAACGTCTAAAAAACAAACCAGATAATCATAAAACGTCTCAAAAACAAACCAGATAATCATAAAACGTATCAAAAACAAACCAGACAATCATAAAACGTCTCAAAAACAAACCAGATAATCATAAAGCGTCTCAAAAACAAACCAGATAATCATAAAACATCTCTAAAACAAACCAGAGAATCAAGGAACGTCTCAAAAACAAACCAGAGAATCATAAAATGTCTCAAAAACAAACCCAAGCAGCATAACTCACAAAGCAAAACAAAAACAAAAGCAGTCCTAACAAAATATAAGCCCAAGCATCATACAAACGTAAGGTAAATGGACACAAACGCAACTAATATGCCATTTTATTGTGGCAACGTTTCGCTCTCCAGCAGCTTTGTCATAGATCCAAGAAGACTAGTAGGTCATGAAAAGATCTCCCTCCAAAAATGGCTAGATCTGACGTGTACAAAAGGACCCCAATGGAAATAAGTCACTTTGTCTGACTTTTTTGGGTTATCCCAGGTTCTTTACACATATGCTGCTATGTATGATAATCAATGTAAGTGTATTTGTGTATACCTGAATAAACTTACTTGAGATGCTAGAAGCTTGAATCCTGTGTAGTTCCGTGAAGTTCAATTAGGCTTGACAAAGCTCATGGAAAGAGAAACGTTGCCACAATAAAATGTCACATTAGTTGCATATGAATTTACCTAATATTTTGTTGGGAATTCTACCATCATGCAACCCTAGGAGGAGGAGGAGGCCACATAGTTACCATCAAGAACGTGAAGCATGACACTGGTGGTGTTGAGGTTAGAGGCAGCACAAGTGTACATCCCCGTGTCTGCCAGACGGGCGGAGGTAAGCAAGAGGTAACTGATGGTGGTGGGGCCCTTTTCCAAGATGATGGATACCCCGCCCCGGCTGCTGCTGTAGCTGAAGCTCTGTCAACATGAGGAACACAAGGAGATCAATGTCTGAATATAATCGTTGAATATTGGATTGGAAGAGCACTGCGGCCAGCATATTGGGAATGGGAGGTCAGTAGGTATGCTGCTACTCCTTCTCTAATCCAATCTTTCTCACTCGTGAAAAATGAGAGACTAGTGTAGTATTTTTACTGTGGAAACGTTTCGCCAGCCATTTGCGAGAAAAACAGGAAGATGAGGAGGAGTCTGAGGTAATCCGTCCCTCAGCCTGGAGTCGATGTGTCTAGTCCACCAATTTTGATAAATGACTGATGAAACCACTGCCTGGCGAAACGTTCCCACCATAAAAATACCGAAGTATTGCACTAGTGCCTCATTCTTCAACTTGTCAGTTTTCTAAAACACTTCTATCATACTTTTCCAACTTATTATTAAAATTCTCACTAAGATCAGTACATTAAAAAATCGAAAAATTGCATAGTAATACCAAAAAGAGGTGGAAAAAGACTCGTTTCTCCACGAGTGACTTCTTCATTCCTAATGTGTGTGTGTGTGTGTGTGTGTGTGTGTGTGTGTGTGTGTGTGTGTGTTGTGTGTGTGTGTTGTATGTGTGTGTATATAAAATATATATATATAATATATATATATATATAGAAAACGTTTCGGTCGTGGAACCTTGATCACTTCTAACATACAGAGGTTAAAAAGACAGTGTATATATAGGTAGAGAGTTGGACTGGAGAAGCCACTCGTAGCCAAACTTTTCCTCTAATATAGGAACCATTCCCTATATAAACATTTTTTTTGAAGCTGAAGCACAAGGTCCCAGAACCAAAACGTTTCCATCTTAAAATATTCTAAGTGTTTCCTCAAGTGTCTTCAAGCACAGCATTAGTGTGGTCACTGATGTCACGGAGATCAGTACGTGAATATAATTACTGAGAGCACGAAGTTCAATGCATAAAATTAATTTATTACGGATGGGTCATCAGCCTTCATAAAGCAAATCAAAGACAGGTAAACAAAACGAACCTTTATTAAAAAACGTAGCTTCGTTCAGTTCAAGCTTTCTAAAGTATCTTGATATAACTCTGAACGAAATGTTGTGTTTATTAAATGTTCGCTCAGTCTACGAGTCTCTGAAGAACATAATGCAGTAAGCACACCATACCACGGGCGGGGATAGAACCCGCGATCAGTGTCTCAAAACTCAAAACTTTCGTGAGTAGCAAGCACATATTAATGGAAATAAAGAGACATTGACTTTATCGAGTTATTCTAGGTTACGTTGTTCGTAATTTACCATATGACTTCACTGTAAATATTTCAGAAAATTGTATGGGTCTACGTAAAACCTTACCTGTGTAATGGAGAGATATAACTCACATGGAGACAAAATCAGGTGAGAAAATTTGTATATTTGGACCTCCGACTGAAGCAGGTCAGACAATTAATTTATCTGGTTATTGCATATAATCCATCAATTCCAAGTTTTAAATTATGATTGCATTTTGGCAAATATGCAGCTTTACAGCTTAAACTGATAAATAATTTTGCATAACATCAGATGATCTCAGAATACACAAACAACCAGAACATAGAATAAAACTTGTGATGACATTTTCGGTTAATAAGGCCTGAGCTTGCTACCATCTGCAGCTCATAAGGCTGCCATCCCCACGAGCCCCTTCGAGGCGGGGTAGATGGCAGACCAGAGGCCTAGCTTCTCCCTACGAGCCCCGTGAGGGCGGGGAATGTGGCTAGGCCTGGGGACACTTGGTCCCAAAGATGAGGAGGTACTTGTCCTTCCTCCCATGGGAGACTTAAGTCTCGAGACACTCCCCAGATAGGGAGCCAAGGCCGGGTCACCACTACTTGGAAAAGACCTGGGTCGGGAGAATACCGGTGAATAAAAAAAAAAAAAAAAAAAAACTTCGGTTCGATTTGGACCATTGACTCTCCATTGGCTTAAGCCGGTAGGAGACTTGGACGTGCCTCGCATGGGCCAGTAGGCCTGCTGCAGTGTTCCTTCTTCCTTATGTTCTTATGTTCTATGTGCGGGTTATTTGTGTGTTGTTCCAGTCACGATATTGTGCCTTTTCATTCTTTATGAATGATCATGGTCATGGACCGGGCCGCGGGGGCGTTGATCCCCGGAATAACCTCCAGGTAACTCCAGGTATGATCTCACAAGTCAGTATAAACAAATTTATTTTCAATTTTTTTTTTTCCAAAATAGGTTATATCACCTCATAGGAACATTAAAAATAGATTGGCCAAATATTATTAATGGGTTTGGGTTTCAGAAAGACCTGCCTAGTATGGGCCAGCAAGCCTGTTCCTCTTGTCTTGTGTTCTAGCAGTACTGTTGTAGATTAATCCTTGCCAATGCTAGGTACGTCCTTCTCAAATGAAATTTTTCTCACTCGTGTGTTTATCTAACTATTCTAACTATTTTAAATGTTTTCCATGAAGACTTGGTCATTGCTTTCTCTTCTTAATTCTTTCCTTAAGAAAAACAGTTGAATATAAACTTGAAAATTCTATAATTGTTTAGGACATGCCCTGTATGGGCCAGTAGGCCTTCTGCAGTGTTCCTCCATTATTATGTTAAATTGTTTCACTGTGCGTTAATTTTTAGCAAAGTTAGGCTGCTTAGTCCTGGTGCAGAAATCAAATGTTAACATAACAAAAAGCTGTGTAATTATATTCTAATATTGAACTGAGAGGAAAATCTTTCTGTGATTGAAAAATAACGAAAGCATTAATATCAACGCAATTTTATGAATCTTCTGTGACTATTCTTCCTGGTGCAACTTTTTGCTATTAGAGTGTAATAGCCTATCGACTACACGATAGCCTATCGACTATCGTGTAGTCGATAGGCTTGAAACTTAACAGATCAATGAATTACACCTTCCCTACATGATAGATACATCGAGAGACAAATATTCCCTGAGTAAATATCGAGAATTGAGCATGTATATATTTTTTTATGATTAAAATACATTTGATGTCGGTGTAACAGACTTTACCCCATCTAGCGGCGTTCCTTGAGGCTGATGAAGGACTTGATTTAAGTAACTTTACTCCCTTTCTTTGGATCACTCCTGTTTACCCCCATTACTTCAGGCTCTCCTACGGCTTAATGTTTCACCATATATACAATAATATTTCATAATAATATTATTTTTATATTGTTATTATACGGAGAAACGTAATCTCTAGTATATTCTAGCAACTCTAGTCACAAACTGGTAATTCAGTCCTACGTGGTTGGCAGCCCTGGGATCTTGTAAATAATGCTACGCACCCTATGCATTTTTCATTAATATAAATTTTTCATTAATATAAATTTTTCATTAATATAAATTCAGTAAAAAGTAATCAAATAACAGGGGTAACACGTAATGAATAAGTTTAACACAGTGGATAACTTACAAGTCACAGAATCTGCAATATCACGATTAAACCACAGGTCAGAAATAGCAGATTGCAAAAGCCATTACATCTCCACAACTGATCAGCACTGAAAAGTGGCATCGCTCACATATACTCAAAGCAACAGCAATCTCGAACAAGCATCTGACACGTTCTCACTGCTTTAGGTAATTCCATTCGAGTTATGGTTTCCTCCCTTCCTTCGCGATGTTCATGCCGTAGAGTCAAATCGAGCGCAAGACAAGATGACATAGGTAATAATATACATGGAATAAAAAGAAAAATGAGCGAGAGAGAGAGAGAGAGAGAGAGAGAGAGAAGAAGGAAAGAGAGAGAGAGAGGGGGGGAACGAGAAATAAATGAGGAAAACGAGATAAGAATAGGAAGGGAAAGAAAAAGCCTCCACTAAGACAAGGGAATAAGACGCAGTGTCTTATCACAGTCCTAAGGGAGTCCCAACATCCAAGGCAGAATGGAGTCTTGATTCTCGTGAGGGATCTGCAGATCAGAATGGAGTTCAGATTCTTATGAAGAATCCACAGGCCAGATCTTAGCAGTAACTTTCTTCCAAGATCTATTCTCTTAAATTTAATCCTACCTCTCCTTAGAGGTCCAAATGCCAAAAAGGAGTCCTTTTCTTTTAAATGATCCAAAACGACAAGAACGACTATAATCCAAAGGCCAGACAGAAATCCTAATCCTCTTGAAGGATCCATGTATTTGACTGAAATCGTTTTTCACTTGAAAGATTTATAGATAAGAACGGAGTCATAATTTTCAAGAATTGTAATCAGGTCGAAAAAGGAGTCCTATTTTACGTGAAAATGGATTCCTAATTATCCTCAAGAATCTAACAGGAATTGAAGGGTTCGCAGTTCTTCGACAATGCATTGGATCTTGGCTAAAGCAGATAGTCTTGGGTGAAGCAAATGGTCTTAGGAAGAGCAAATTGTCTTAAGTAAAGCGAATGGTCTTGAAAAAAGTAAATGTTGTTGGTGAAGCAAGTGATGGTAACTGAGGCATGAATATGACAGCAACAATCCAGCAGCGAGAAACTTGCAGAATCTGTAAACAGAACCAAGGTCAAGCTAGTGACAGTTGGGACACAGACAGAGCAGAACAGACTGTCTCCACTTCTAAAGATTCTACAGTGAGATTTGGAGGGACTGAAGACCCGGTGAGGCTGGTCTTAGTTTCCTCCTTCAATAAGACCGATTTCAATCGATTTCGAGGACTCTCGTACCCCTATCCCCCCCGAACTCAGCCTGAAGCCAGGCTTCACTGTTGCCCGCCTGATCAACCAGGTTGTTGGTGCCAGTAGCCTTGAGGTTCCACATAGCCGTCACAACTACCTTCATCCGGAAGTGTAGGGAGACGCTGTTTAAGATTCTTCTTAACAGCTTATGTATTAGTTCAGACAATATTTTTTCACATGTTTTGGTAATATGTTAGGCTACATAATTTTCTTTAATTATAGCCATGGCCTCCCTGCTCTTTACTAGGTTTGTTTCACTCATTTTTCTGTATCACTTTAGTAAATTATCATGGCTATATGCAGGCTAGGGACCAGATTC